ATGTAGACAAGAAACACAAAAAGAATAATTCCTTTGGTAAATGGTCAGAGCCAGCATGGTAACATGCACACATGCTCAGCATTCTCTCTACTCTTCTCTCCTCTCACTTCACAATTAAATACAACTAGGAAACTTAAGTGTCATCTAGTGATCCAAAATGGTCATGTTTAGCAACGTTTAAGAACACTTAATTTTATTATTTTCTACAGTTTTACAGCTTCTTTAGTTTGGACGTTTACAAAATATTGTGAAATACAATTATTTCTTAAGTGTTCAAAAAATAAAAGTTGATTTTTCACTTGTTAATAAGATGATACATTTTGTTTTAAGTTATTTCAGCATCGCGTGACTTTTTGTTAATAGATTAATGTGCAGCTTTGCGATTTCATCATTTGATTTGCTTATACTGCCTTTCTACTTTCTCCGTGACTTGCGTTTTGCAGACTACAGGAGTATTTTTATTGATCGACTTTTTTGGCACCTTAACCTTCTTTTTAATATGTTGGAACACTTACTTTGTTATATCATCTTGCCGTTTGTTTGTTTGTTTGTTTAATAGCTTGCATTATTGCCAAACTGTAGCCTTATGTTGTATTAGAGCAAAGTCACTTCAGTACCATGGACAGCGATAATCGCGTTTTATATTTCTACTCCTACATAGTTGTTGTAATATACAAAGCATAACAATTTTTCTGTTTTGTAATGACTGTGTAGATATGAAGGTTGACTTTATGAAGATAGTGATACGTTTAGTTCACTTTTTGTTTTTATAGAGTAGCATTTCATTGTTTCATCACTGTTACAACACGTGGTGGCACTGCAGACCACAACTTTGAGAGTCACCTAAGCTCCTCCTTTACAGCAACAGAATATGCGTTGAAAGGGTGCAAATAACCAAGGCTTATAGTAGCTTCTGCGTCGTGATTTCGGATTGTATCGAGAGAGGTTTATTTAGTTGTTTTCATCGCTTTTAATCGCAGGACATTGACTGCACAATCATGGATGTCACAGAATATTATGGCTTCTGGATAGTTTTATTTCTGTCTTTATGGAAATATTCGGTTGGCCAGATTGTCTATTCCGTCTCCGAGGAGGTAAATAAAGGAACCGTGATCGGGAATATTGCAAAAGACCTCAAGATCAGCGCTCAGGAACTGGAATCACGCATGTTTCAGATTATGCCTGGATCAAATGCAAAGTATTTTGATGTAAATGTGAAAACGGGGTCACTGTTTGTCAAAGACAGGATTGATCGTGAGGAGTTGTGTGGCTCTAATCAGAAATGTACATTGAATTTAGAGGCTCTTGCTCAGAATCCGCACAGACTTTATCGGCTTGAACTTATAATTGTGGACGTGAACGACAATGCTCCGTTTTTTATTGACAGCATGTATGTTGTCAATGTTACAGAGGATTCAAATGCGGGGGAACGATTTCCTCTTCCGATTGCAAAAGATTCAGATGCTGGCAGTAATTCTCTGAAAGATTACAAACTGAGTTCAAATGAATATTTTTCTTTAGATGTTCATAGCGGGCAACAGAGTATATCTGCCGATTTAGTACTACAGAAAGCTTTAGACCGAGAGAAACAAGCCGTTATTCACTTAATATTAACCGCTGTTGACGGAGGAAAACCTCCTAAATCTGGAACATTGAGTATTGTTGTTGACGTCATGGATGTAAACGATAATAAGCCAATTTTCAGCAAACCTTTATACAAAGTTAAAGTAAAAGAAAACACACCAATTGGAACCAACATAATTTCTGTTTCTTCCAGTGATTTGGATGAGGGCATCAATAGTGAAATTCAATATTCATTTCTTGGACATGGAAATACAGATGAATTGAACCGGTTTAGCATTAATTCTAACTCTGGGGAAATTGTTGTTCAAGGACACAAGAACAACCTGCAATTGAACTCCGTGTTCAGGCAAAAGACAAAGGCAGCCCTCCAAAAATTGCACATGGCAAAGTTTTAATAGAAGTTGTGGATGAGAATGACAATGTGCCAGAGATAGTTACGACTCCTCTGTTGGAAACTGTGAAAGAGGACGCAAAACCGGGAACTGCTGTTGCTTTAGTCACAGTGTCTGATAAAGATGGAGGTAAAAATGGCATTGTTCACTGTGCGCTGAAAGGCTCGTTTCCTTTCAAATTGGAGACGTCATATAACAATCATTATTCTCTAGTGGTAGACGGACCTTTGGACAGAGAGAGTGTTTCTCAGTATAACATCACAATTACAGCTTCAGATGAAGGAACTCCGGCTCTTTCCAGCAGCACTGTTATAACTGTACATATCTCTGATGTTAATGACAATGCCCCACATTTCCCAGCGCCCGTTATTAACGCTTTTCTAAGTGAGAATGGTCAAGCTGGAGGTCTCGTGACAAAAGTGACAGCTGATGATTCAGACACTGGTGAGAACGCAGAACTTTCATATTCACTGTTAGACAGTTCCAGCTCCAGAGTTCCTGTAACAACACTGATCAATATAAACTCTTTGAGTGGAGAAATATTCAGTTTGCAATCATTTAATCACGAAGAAACAAAAAGATTTCAGTTTGAAGTGATGGCAACAGACTCTGGTGTTCCTCCTCTGAGCAGTAATGTGACTGTAAATGTGTTTATTCTGGATGAGAATGACAACAGTCCAGTTATTTTACCGCCTTATTCTGATCCTGGATCAGTTAATACTGAGAACATTCCCTACTCTGCTGAAGCGGGATACTTTGTAGCCAAGATCAGAGCTGTTGATGCTGACTCTGGATATAACGCTCTTCTGTCTTATCATATAAGTGAAGCCAAAGGAACTAATGTCTTCCGCATTGGAAGCAGCACTGGAGAAATAAAGACTAAGAGACGAATGAGTGACAATGACTTAAGAACTCACCCACTTATTATTACAGTGTCTGATAATGGAGAGCCATCACTCTCAGCGACTATCTCCATGGATGTTGTGGTTGTTGAGAGTCTGGATGACATAAAGACATCATTCAGAGAAGTTCCTGTTAAAGAGGAGAGTTTTTCAGATCTGAATGTGTATCTGCTCATCGCTATCGTCTCAGTATCAGTCATCTTTTTACTGAGTCTCGTGGGTTTGATAGCAGCTAAATGCTACAGGACAGACGGCAGTTTCAGCAGGTACAGCGCTCCAGTGATCAGCACCCATCCAGACGGAAGCTGGTCCTTCTCTAAATCTACTCAACAGTATGACGTGTGTTTTAGTTCAGACACAATAAAGAGTGATGTAGTCGTTTTCCCCTCGCCGTTTCCACCAGCAGACGCGGAGTTGATCAGCATTAATAGTGGAGAAGACACTTTTACGCGCACCCAAACTCTTCCTAACTCAGAGAAGGTAAGGCACTGGTGATTTCTCCTTACATAGGCTACTATTATTTATTTAAAAAAAAAATGTTTTAAACGGTTTGGTTATCATTACATTTGTTCTGGAATTTTAATTATGTGTCCATTACTCTATGTATTTTTATGTTATTGTTGATCAAATGGTAGTAGAATAAAATATGCGCAACCACACACTTTCTTCCAAAAATACTTTGCTATGCCTCTCTTAGCCATGTCTCTTTACTTATCTGTGCTAAAAGCTCATTGTTGACTTTTTATTATCTTTGAAGATATTTCAACATTCATTTCTGGATTTCTGATAATCCACGTTACATTTTGCTACTGCATATTAAAATATAATCATGTGCTAACATTTTGCCAACAATAATGGAGGATTGTTTTATTATTATTTCCATTTTCCATTAATAATGTAAAAAAAAGTGCCTTTAACTTTCATTAAAAATTAAGTATTTTTTTGTATTTCAGCAAATAGTCCCTTTCTGAAAATGTAGACCGTCAACCTCAAGAGGTCAAGCTAAATTTTATTGTGAGCTGTTTAATTATATTTTTAAATTTTATATTTAGTTTAATTTAGGACTTATTCACAAAACCTACAAAAAACTATTCACAATGATGGCGACGGTGATGGTGATTGTTATTATTATCATTATCATTATTTCGTGTTTGATCTTTTCTTAGTATCAGATTTCCTAAAGCAGACTTTCAGAGCTGGACAGCGACCGGCCAGCGCTTACTGAGTGTAACATCCCATTTATAACTGCCATTTTTTGTCATCATAATTTGTTTTGTTAATGATTTAAACGAACCTAAGTTAAGTCTTTCCTCTTTACGAATGTGCATTTATTTTTGCAAAACATCTACACTAGATTATGTGATGTTTATCAATTGTGGAATTGACTTGGGTATTTACTCTATTGTGGAATGTGATTAAACAGTTAATCTGATATTTAAAATAATATAATCCCACAAACCCTTCCTTTCCGCTCTGTTGTATTTTGTCGTGGAAGTGAGTTTTGAAAATCAAAATAACGCATTACAGAGCTTTTATGTCCTTAAATGTGAAGCTGTTCCTGGAGAAACTTTGATATTGCACTGCAATTCCATTAGAAACCGCCTGGAGTCGCTGTTAACCGTGAAAATTTAGAGCACCATAAATACTCGCGTATTTGTATATTATCTCCTCCTTCCAACGCACCATTCTTAAACCATATCATATCAGCGGTGTCGTCGGCGGTTGTGTAGTGAACCACAATTCAGCTGGTCTCATTTGCTATGATTCAATATTTGTTTGTTTCTTTTAGATTTTGAATTGTTGGTTTTGAGCAGAGATGAATCAATATGTTGGATCTATATGGACTGCGATTCTGCTGTCTTATTGTTGGACTTTATCCTCCGGTCAGATTGCCTATTCCGTCTCAGAGGAAGTGAATGTGGGAACCGTTATCGGCAATTTAGCAAAAGATCTTCACATCAATGTGCTAGAACTGGAACCTCGTATGTTTCAGATTGTACATGGAACCAACAAAAGGTATTTTGAGGTGAATTTAAAGACTGGGACTCTGCATGTGAATAATCGTATTGATCGAGAATCGCTCTGCTCTGCTGATGAGAAATGCACGATGCTTTTAGAAGCGATGGCTCATAATCCACTGAGTCTGTATAGAATAGAAATACATATAATTGACATCAACGATAACGCGCCATCGTTTCCGATTAGCAGTCAGGTACTGAACGTAACAGAAGTCTCCTCTCTTGGAGAGAAATTTTCTCTTCCTTTGGCTGAAGATCCGGATTCAGGCAACAATGAGGTTAAATCCTACAAGCTCAGTCCCAACGAATACTTTTCTCTGGATGTGCAGAATGTAGAACAGAGTGTTACTGTCGAACTGGTGCTGATTAAAGCTTTAGATCGAGAAAAACAGCCTCTCATTCATCTAACACTGACTGCTGTTGATGGAGGGAAACCTGCAATGTCCGGAACATTAGAGATTATTGTCAATGTTTTGGATGTTAACGACAACTCTCCAGTTTTTAGCAAATCTCTTTACAAAGTGAAAGTGAACGAAAATATTGCCCTGGGGTCCCAAATCATCTCCCTTTCCGCCTCTGATTTAGATGAGGGAATAAATAGTGATATAACATTTTCTATTGTCAAGCAAGGCAGTAGCAAAGCGTCAGATCTGTTTTCAATTGATCCAGATAGCGGACTTATAACAGTTAAAGGTAATATTGATTATGAAGAAAATGCTGCTGTTGAGTTGAGGGTGGAGGCTAAAGATAAAGGCCAGCCTCCTAAGAGTTCACAGTGTAAGGTGTTAGTTGAAGTAGTTGATGTGAATGACAATCCGCCCGAGCTAATGGTGACTTCGTTGGCTAATACTATTAAAGAGGACTCAAAAATCGGAACAGCTGTGGCTCTTGTTACAATCTCTGATAAAGACGGAGGTAAAAATGGAGTAGTGCACTGCAGTATTGTAGGTCAGGTGCCGTTTAAGATCGAGTCCTCTTATAAAAACTACTACTCTTTAGTTGTAGATGGAGCACTGGACAGAGAAGAAATTGCCCATTTTAATATCACAATAATAGCTACAGATGAAGGGACCCCTTCACTCTCTAGTACCAGTGTTATCACAATTCATATATCTGATGTGAATGACAATGCGCCACGCTTCCCAGAAGCTGTGATGAACGTGTTTCTAAAGGAAAACAGCCCAGCAGGTGCCATTATAGCGACAGTGTCCGCGCAGGATCCAGATATCAACACGAACGCTCATATTTCTTATACTTTAATTAGCAGAGACAAAACTGTGATTCCATTGATCTCTATGATTGACATAAATAGTGAGAGTGGAGACTTATACAGTAAACAATCATTTAACTACGAAGACCTTAAATCATTTCAGTTTGAAATTCAGGCGACAGATTCGGGTCTTCCATCACTAAGCAGCAGCTTGACAGTAAATGTTTTTATAACTGATGAGAATGACAACAGTCCAGTTATTTTACCGCCTTATTCTGATCCTGGATCAGTTAATACTGAGAACATTCCCTACTCTGCTGAAGCGGGATACTTTGTAGCCAAGATCAGAGCTGTTGATGCTGACTCTGGATATAACGCTCTTCTGTCTTATTATATAAGTGAACCCAAAGGAACTAATGTCTTCCGCATTGGAAGCAGCACTGGAGAAATAAAGACTAAGAGACGAATGAGTGACAATGACTTAAGAACTCACCCACTTATTATTACAGTGTCTGATAATGGAGAGCCATCACTCTCAGCGACTATGTCCATGGATGTTGTGGTTGTTGAGAGTCTGGATGACATAAAGACATCATTCAGAGAAGTTCCTGTTAAAGAGGAGAGTTTCTCAGATCTGAATGTGTATCTGCTCATCGCTATCGTCTCAGTATCAGTCATCTTTTTACTGAGTCTCGTGGGTTTGATAGCAGCTAAATGCTACAGGACAGACGGCAGTTTCAGCAGGTACAGCGCTCCAGTGATCAGCACCCATCCAGACGGAAGCTGGTCCTTCTCTAAATCTACTCAACAGTATGACGTGTGTTTTAGTTCAGACACAATAAAGAGTGATGTAGTCGTTTTCCCCTCGCCGTTTCCACCAGCAGACGCGGAGTTGATCAGCATTAATAGTGGAGAAGACACTTTTACGCGCACCCAAACTCTTCCTAACTCAGAGAAGGTAAGACATTGCAACTTGCCTGTGTATTGCAATCACTGCTTGACTTGCAAAATTACATTTTTAGAAACGATAAGTTGAATGTTTTGATTTTATAAACTATCATTACAGTTTATATTCCAGTTTAGATGTCTATAATAATAAAAAAGGAAATATCTTTTTTTATTTTTTATTTTTTTTATTACGCGCATCCCAACCCGATACTCAAGATAATACGTAACACACTGGACAGCTTTGTCAAATTATACATTTTATTTACAAATCTCACTTGTTACGATGATGCAGTTTAGTTTAGCAAATTAGTAAATTATCTCGTGACTTTGGAAATGCAGTACTGGAATAATGACCTTTTCATACAAACTGCTGTTTGTATTTTTATTTTTTATTTAAGGTTTAACTGTAGCCTATTTTGAATTTAAAAAGCTAAATAAAATCAGCACCACGGACAGCGGTATTGACGTTGAATATTCCTTCTCAATATTTGTATTTGCTGTAATACAAAACAAAACCTTTTCTGTTTCGTAATGATTGTGTTGATATGATGATTTCGATTTGAATTTATGAAGATATGTTTTCGTTCAGTTCACTCTTTGTTTTATAGAATCCTGTATGAAGTAACATCTCGTTGTTTCATCACTGTTACAACACGTGGTGGCACTGCAGACCACAACTTTGAGTCATCTGAGCTCCTCCTTTACAGCAACAGAATATGCGTTGAAAGGGTGCAAATAACCAAGGCTTATAGTAGCTTCTGCGTCGTGATTTCGGATGGTATCGAGAGAGGTCTGTTTAGTTGTTTTAATCGCTTTGAATAGCAGGACATTTTCTTGCACAATCATGGATTTCACCGGATATTATGGCTTGTGGGTCGTTTTATTTCTGTTATGGAAATCTTCGCTTGGCCAGATTGTCTATTCCGTCTCCGAGGAGGTAAATAAAGGAACCGTGATCGGGAATATTGCAAAAGACCTCAAGATCAGCACTCAGGAACTAGAATCACGCATGTTTCAGATTATGCCTGGATCAAATGCAAAGTATTTTGATGTAAATGTGAAAACGGGGTCGCTGTTTGTCAAAGACAGGATTGATCGTGAGGAGTTGTGTGGCTCTAATCAGAAATGTACATTGAATTTAGAGGCTCTTGCTCAGAATCCGCACAGACTTTATCGGCTTGAAATTATAATTGTGGATGTGAACGACAATGCTCCGTTTTTTACTGACAGCATGTATGTTGTCAATGTTACAGAGATTACAAATGTGGGGGAGAGATTTCCTCTTCCGATTGCAAAAGATTCAGATGTTGGAAGTAATTCTCTGAAGGATTACAAACTCAGTTCAAATGAATATTTTTCTTTAGATGTTCATAGCGGGCAAAAGAGTATATCTGCTGAGTTAGTACTACAGAAAGCTTTAGACCGAGAGAAACAAGCCGTTATTCACTTAATATTAACCGCTGTTGACGGAGGAAAACCTCCTAAATCTGGAACCTTGTGTATTGTTGTTGACGTCATGGATATAAACGATAATCAGCCTATTTTCAACAAAGCTTTATACAAAGTTAAAGTAAAAGAAAACACACCAATTGGAACCAAAATAATTTCTGTTTCTGCCACTGATTTGGATGAGGGCATCAATAGTGAAATTCAATATTCATTTCATGGAAATACCGATGAATTGAAACTGTTTAGCATCAATTCTAACTCTGGGGGAATTGTTGTTCAAGGTCAAATTGATTACGAGGATGATTCTGGAATTGAACTCCGTGTTCAGGCGAGAGATAAAGGCAACCCTCCAAAAACTGCACACTGTAAAGTTTTAATAGAAGTTGTGGATGAGAATGACAATGCACCAGAGATAGTTACGACTCCCCTGTTGGAAAGTGTGATAGAGGACGCAAAACCGGGAACTGCTGTTGCTTTAGTCACAGTGTCTGATGAAGATGGAGGTAAAAATGGCATTGTTCACTGTGCGCTGAAAGGCTCGTTTCCTTTCAAACTGGAGACGTCATATAACAATCATTATTCTCTGGTGGTAGACGGACCTCTGAACAGAGAGAGTGTTTCTCAGTATAACATCACAATTACAGCTTCAGATGAAGGAACTCCGGCTCTTTCCAGCAGCACTGTTATAACTGTACATATCTCTGATGTTAATGACAATGCCCCACATTTCCCAGCGCCCGTTATTAACGCTTTTCTAAGTGAGAATGGTCAAGCTGGAGGTCTCGTGACAAAAGTAACAGCTGATGATTCAGACACTGGTGAGAACGCAGAACTTTCATATTCACTGTTAGACAGTTCCAGCTCCAGAGTTCCTGTAACAACACTGATCAATATAAACTCTTTGAGTGGAGAAATATTCAGTTTACAATCATTTAATCACGAAGAAACAAAAAGATTTCAGTTTGAAGTGATGGCAACAGACTCTGGTGTTCCTCCTCTGAGCAGTAATGTGACTGTAAATGTGTTTATTCTGGATGAGAATGACAACAGTCCAATTATTTTACCGCCTTATTCTGATCCTGGATCAGTTAATACTGAGAACATTCCCTACTCTGCTGAAGCGGGATACTTTGTAGCCAAGATCAGAGCTGTTGATGCTGACTCTGGATATAACGCTCTTCTGTCTTATCATATAAGTGAAGCCAAAGGAACTAATCTCTTCCGCATTGGAAGCAGCACTGGAGAAATAAAGACTAAGAGGCGAATGAGTGACAATGACTTAAAAACTCACCCACTTATTATTACAGTTTCTGATAATGGAGAGCCATCACTCTCAGCGACTATGTCCATGGATGTTGTGGTTGTTGAGAGTCTGGATGACATAAAGACATCATTCAGAGAAGTTCCTGTTAAAGAGGAGAGTTTTTCAGATCTGAATGTGTATCTGCTCATCGCTATCGTCTCAGTATCAGTCATCTTTTTACTGAGTCTCGTGGGTTTGATAGCAGCTAAATGCTACAGGACAGACGGCAGTTTCAGCAGGTACAGCGCTCCAGTGATCAGCACCCATCCAGACGGAAGCTGGTCCTTCTCTAAATCTACTCAACAGTATGACGTGTGTTTTAGTTCAGACACAATAAAGAGTGATGTAGTCGTTTTCCCCTCGCCGTTTCCACCAGCAGACGCGGAGTTGATCAGCATTAATAGTGGAGAAGAAACTTTTACGCGCACCCAAACTCTTCCTACGACCGAGAAGGTAAGACATTGCAACTTGCCTGTGTATTGCAATCACTGCTTGACTCGCAAAATTATATTTTTAGAAACGATTAAGTTGGATATTGGATTTTATAAACTCTCATTACAGATTATTTTCCAGTTTACATGTCTATGGGAATAATATAAAAAAGGAAATATGGTTTTTATTTTATTTTATTGTTTTTATTTTATTACGCGCATCCCAACCCGATACTCAAGATAATACGTAACATACTGGACAGCTTTGTCAAATTAGAAAAATTATTCAAATTTCTCACTTATTGCTCAGATTATGCAGTTTAGTTTTGCAAATGAGTTCATTATCTCGTGACTTTGGAAATGCAGTAGGCCTGGAATAATGACCTTATCATACAAACTGCTGTTTGTATTTTTTTAAAATTTAAGGTTGAACTGTGGCCTATTTTGTATTTAAAAATCTAAATATATTCAGCACCACGGACAGCGGTATTGGCGTTATTCCTTCTCAATATTTGTATTTGCTGTAATATAAAACAAAACCTTTTCTGTTTCGTAATGATTGTGTTGATATGATGATTTCGATTTGAATTTATGAAGATATGTTTTCGTTTAGTTCACTCTTTGTTTTATAGAATCCTGTATGAAGTAACATTTTGTTTCATCACTGTTACAACACGTGGGGGCACTGCAGGCCACAACTTTGAGTCATCTGAGCTCCTCCTTTACAGCAACAGAATATGCGTTGAAAGGGTGCAAATAACCAAAGTAGCTTCTGCGTCGTGATTTCGGATGGTATCGAGAGAGGTCTGTTTAGTTGTTTTAATCGCTTTGAATAGCAGGACATTTTTTTGCACAATCATGGATTTTACCGGATATTATGGCTTTTGGGTCGTTTTATTTCTGTTACGGAAATCTTCGCTTGGTCAGATCGTATATTCCGTCTCCGAGGAGGTAAATAAAGGAACCGTGATCGGGAATATTGCAAAAGACCTCAAGATCAGCACTCAGGAACTGGAATCACGCATGTTTCAGATTATGCCTGGATCAAATGCAAAGTATTTTGATGTAAATGTGAAAACGGGGTCGCTGTTTGTCAAAGACAGGATTGATTGTGAGGAGTTGTGTGGCTCTAATCAGAAATGTACATTGAATTTAGAGGCTCTTGCTCAGAATCCGCACAGACTTTATCGGCTTGAAATTATAATTGTGGATGTGAACGACAATGCTCCGTTTTTTATTGACAGCATGTATGTTGTCAATGTTACAGAGAATGCAATTGAGGGGGACAGATTTCCTCTTCCAAATGCAAAAGATTCAGATGTCGGCAGTAATTCTCTGAAGGATTACAAACTCAGTTCAAATGAATACTTTTCTTTAGATGTTCATAGCGGGCAAAAGAGTATATCTGCTGAGTTAGTACTACAGAAAGCTTTAGACCGAGAGAAACAAGCCGTTATTCACTTAATATTAACCGCTGTTGACGGAGGAAAACCTCCCAAATCTGGAACATTGAGTATTGTTGTTGACGTCATGGATGTAAACGATAATAAGCCTGTTTTCACTAAACCTTTATACAAAGTTAAAGTAAAAGAAAACACACCAAATGGAACCAAAATATTTTTTGTTTCTGCCACTGATTTGGATGAGGGCATCAATAGTGAAATTCAATATTCATTTCATGGAAATACCGATGAATTGAAACTGTTTAGCATTAATTCTAACACTGGGGAAATTGTTGTTCAAGGACACATTGATTACGAGGATGATTCTGCCATTGAACTCCGTGTTCAGGCGAGAGATAAAGGCAGCCCTCCAAAAAGTACACACTGTAAAGTTTTAATAGAAGTTGTGGATGAGAATGATAATGCACCAGAGATAATTGTGACTCCTCTGCTGGAAAGTGTGATAGAGGACGCAAAACCGGGAACTGCTGTTGCTTTAGTCACAGTGTCTGATAAAGATGGAGGTAAAAATGGCATTGTTCACTGTGCGCTGAAAGGCTCGTTTCCTTTCAAACTGGAGACGTCATATAACAATCATTATTCTCTAGTGGTAGACGGACCTCTGAACAGAGAGAGTGTTTCTCAGTATAACATCACAATTACAGCTTCAGATGAAGGAACTCCGGCTCTTTCCAGCAACACTGTTATAACTGTACATATCTCTGATGTTAATGACAATGCCCCACATTTCCCAGCACCCGTTATTAACGCTTTTCTAAGTGAGAATGGTCAAGCTGGAGGTCTCGTGACAAAAGTGACAGCTGATGATTCAGACACTGGTGAGAACGCAGAACTTTCATATTCACTGTTAGACAGTTCCAGCTCCAGAGTTCCTGTAACAACACTGATCAATATAAACTCTTTGAGTGGAGAAATATTCAGTTTGCAATCATTTAATCACGAAGAAACAAAAAGATTTCAGTTTGAAGTGATGGCAACAGACTCTGGTGTTCCTCCTCTGAGCAGTAATGTGACTGTAAATGTGTTTATTCTGGATGAGAATGACAACAGTCCAGTTATTTTACCGCCTTATTCTGATGCTGGATCAGTTAACACTGAGAACATTCCCTACTCTGCTGAAGCGGGATACTTTGTAGCCAAGATCAGAGCTGTTGATGCTGACTCTGGATATAACGCTCTTCTGTCTTATCATATAAGTGAAGCCAAAGGAACTAATCTCTTCCGCATTGGAAGCAGCACTGGAGAAATAAAGACTAAGAGACGAATGAGTGACAACGACTTAAAAACTCACCCACTTATTATTACAGTGTCTGATAATGGAGAGCCATCACTCTCAGCGACTATCTCCATGGATGTTGTGGTTGTTGACAGTCTGGATGAGATAAAGACATCATTCAGAGAAGTTCCTGTCAAAGAGGAGAGTTTTTCAGATCTGAATGTGTATCTGCTCATCGCTATCGTCTCAGTATCAGTCATCTTTTTACTGAGTCTCGTGGGTTTGATAGCAGCTAAATGCTACAGGACAGACGGCAGTTTCAGCAGGTACAGCGCTCCAGTGATCAGCACCCATCCAGACGGAAGCTGGTCCTTCTCTAAATCTACTCAACAGTATGACGTGTGTTTTAGTTCAGACACAATAAAGAGTGATGTAGTCGTTTTCCCCTCGCCGTTTCCACCAGCAGACGCGGAGTTGATCAGCATTAATAGTGGAGAAGACACTTTTACGCGCACCCAGACTCTTCCTACCACTGGGAAGGTAAGAAGACCTTCGAAAACTGGTGTTAAATAATATATTTACAGCTGAATTTTTGATCTCAGCTGTTCAAAATTATTTATTAAGTTGTCAAAAATGTTGCTTTGGTTTTCACATCTTAGTTGTTTCACTTGTTTTTAAGTTGTTTTGATACATTATGAATTCCTTGAATTGGCTAGTAATGCAGTTTAGTATCATAATGATTAGGCTAATCTTGTCCTGGATGCAGGTTTTTTTTTTTTGTGCCTATTTCAAGCATCCAAATACTAGTATAGGCATTTATATAATTATCGATAGTTTACAGACCAAAAGCGAAATGTCGTGGAAATGTAACAAAATTAATCAGACATAGCTTAAGTGACAGGAAATGTACAATTAAAACGCAATTAAGAAACAAAATAATAACGTTGAACTTGATAATAATGTTGATGATACAAATAACAACAGTAATAGTAAATGCGGTCCCAAATGCTGATTGATCACGCTGTTAAAAATTACAGTATATTCCAGATTAATAATTGCATTACTTTCACAGTAATTCCACTGTAGGACTTCTCTTGTATAACTGCACTCTTGGACATTTCTTGTAAAATCTACAATATCATACTGTATTTCTACACTTGCAGTGCAGCACGAACAGATTATGCTGTGAAGTTTCTTGATTCTTGTTTGTTTTATCTGTGCTGCTGAACTTATTTTTGTTTCACTTTTAGCAGTTTGTGTTGTGTGTTTATTTTGTAATGTTCAGAATTTATCTTTTTATATTTTTTTGTTGAGTGTCACCATTGTTGTGTTTTGCATATCGATTATTAATGTCTGTGCATCATTAGGTGACGAAGGAAAAAAAGTGTTGCAAGATGATTTCAAATCTTTCAAAGATGTATCTCAGCAGCTGCTTCATTATTGTTAAATATCCATCTACAAACAATTATGAATTTGAAATAAGATATTGGTAAACTCTCATGCTGAAATAATGCTATAGTAGTATAGTTTGAGTAACTTAAAATCAGCCAATTAGCTAATTTTATATTCTAGCTTCTCATTGTTTTAACAAATGTTTATATTTGTCACACTTCTGACTTGGCTAGATCAGAAATTTTAATATGAATATACAAGGTCCAAGATCCCAAGCAAATGGAACACTAATCACCATTATGGTGACTTCAAAACAATTACAGCACTAAACAATATAATTTCTTACTGTGGGATGGTTACAGATAACTTTATAATGTAAATTCACAGTAAAACAAGAGCAGCAAATTACTAAGATGTCAGCATCATTTTGCTGTTGATTAACAGTAAGTTGTAAGAAAATGACCCAGCATACATTAATTTCACTGTAGATTTCTGACTACTGTATTTTATTGTAAATAATACTCTTTAATCCAGCAAATTCCTGCCAGTTTTTTTTACAGTGTGTTTTACAAATAAGAAAATCAGTAGGCCTGTTTTAAGGAGACATAAAATCGTTGGATAGGCAATTCAAAATGAAAATGCAAAAACAAAACAGGAAATCAATCTCAATAATAATAATTATAATAATAGACTAACAATAATAATAATAATATATTTTGACTTTGAATGCTTCGTCAATTCAGCATCCCAGTCTGTTTTTTCGCCATGATATTAATTGGTTTGACCTTTTCATCACTATGCACCTCTCTTACCGGATCATCAGTTACCTATAGCAACATTACCTACATGGACAACTGCATTTTGTAGTAACAAGCGCCCATTTGATTGTTTGCAGTCTTATTAGATTATACATGCTGCAAGTAGCCTACATAATATTACTGCTGTGTCTTGCTTTGTTTTTCAGAGTTGAAATTGTTTGAGTATTGCTATTGTTTATGTTGTAGTTTCGTTTCAATATATTTTCTGCTTTGGATTTGGAAATACAATATACCTGTTATTGGATAGTTTAGGCACATGGTGTCACTGCAGACCGTCAGTTAAATGTGCATGGTTTGTACTCTGCAGCCTCTCTCTCAGAATCTTAGTGCCAGTGTATCAGTCGTTGAAACGTATGGTTTTGTGTTTCTTCTCGTGTTTCTTGAATGCAAAGAAGAAGTAGATTCTCTCGCGTTTATTTATTGTTACTGTAATTAAGCCAGTTGTGAATCACCATCATGGCATATTTGGGATATTTCGAGTGTGGATTTATATTTTTCCTTTCTTTGCTGGATTCTGCGTTTGCTCAGATCGTCTATTCCGTACCGGAAGAGGTAAATAAGGGAACAGCTGTTGGCAATATAGCGAAAGACCTGAACATAAATGTTCACGACCTGGAATCTCGCATGTTTGAGATCGTGACTGGATCAAATAAGAAGTATTTTGATGTAAATCTGAAAACTGGCGTGCTGTTTGTTAATGAAAGGATTGACCGTGAGGAAATATGTATGTCGAACCAGAAATGCTCTTTGAATATAGAGGCCCTCGCTAAAAATCCTCATCGTCTTTACAGGGTGGAGGTTAAGATCTTGGATATAAACGACAATGCGCCACATTTTCCTGTGAACGTGTTTACAATAAATATAACTGAAACAGCCAATCCTGGCGAGAGATTTCCTCTCCCTGTGTCCGAGGACTCTGATGTTGGCAGTAATTCACTGAAAGAGTACAAACTGAGTCCGAATGAACATTTCAGTCTCGATACACTGAGTGAAGAGCAGAGTGTGTCTGCGGAGTTAGTGCTGAACAAGGCTTTAGATCGAGAGAAGCAAGCGACTATTAAGTTAGTTCTCACCGGGACAGATGGAGGAAAACCACCTAAATCAGGAACTTTAAATATTATTATAAACGTCATGGATGCTAATGATAATAACCCAGTGTTCAGTCAACCTCTTTACAAAGTCAAACTGAAGGAAAATGTTGCTGCTGATACTAAAGTTTTATCTGTGTTTGCCTCTGACTTGGATGAAGGAATAAATAGTGAAATCATGTACTCATTTGCTGGTCACGGAAAGAAACAAGACACGTTTACCATTATTCCTGAGACAGGAGATATTGTTGTAAAAGGGCAAATTGATTACGAGGAAAATCCTGCTATTGAGTTACGAGTTCAGGCAAGAGATAAAGGCAGCCCACCAAGGAGCACACATTGTAAAGTTTTAATAGAAGTTATGGATGAAAATGATAATGCACCAGAGATAGTTACGACTCCTCTGCTGGAAAGTGTGATAGAGGACGCAAAACCGGGAACTGCTGTTGCTTTAGTCACAGTGTCTGATAAAGATGGAGGTAAAAATGGCATTGTTCACTGTGCGCTGAAAGGCTCGTTTCCTTTCAAATTGGAGACGTCATATAACAATCATTATTCTCTAGTGGTAGACGGACCTCTGGACAGAGAGAGTGTTTCTCAGTATAACATCACAATTACAGCTTCAGATGAAGGAACTCCGGCTCTTTCCAGCAGCACTGTTATAACTGTACATATCTCTGATGTTAATGACAATGCCCCACATTTCCCAGCACCCGTTATTAACGCTTTTCTAAGTGAGAATGGTCAAGCTGGAGGTCTCGTGACAAAAGTGACAGCTGATGATTCAGACACTGGTGAGAACGCAGAACTTTCATATTCACTGTTAGACAGTTCCAGCTCCAGAGTTCCTGTAACAACACTGATCAATATAAACTCTTTGAGTGGAGAAATATTCAGTTTGCAATCATTTAATCACGAAGAAACAAAAAGATTTCAGTTTGAAGTGATGGCAACAGACTCTGGTGTTCCTCCTCTGAGCAGTAATGTGACTGTAAATGTGTTTATTCTGGATGAAAATGACAACAGTCCAGTTATTTTACCGCCTTATTCTGATCCTGGATCAGTTAATACTGAGAACATTCCCTACTCTGCTGAAGCGGGATACTTTGTAGCCAAGATCAGAGCTGTTGATGCTGACTCTGGATATAACGCTCTTCTGTCTTATCATATAAGTGAAGCCAAAGGAACTAATCTCTTCCGCATTGGAAGCAGCACTGGAGAAATAAAGTCTAAGAGGCGAATGAGTGACAATGACTTAAGAACTCACCCACTTATTATTACAGTGTCTGATAATGGAGAGCCATCACTCTCAGCGACTATGTCCATGGATGTTGTGGTTGTTGAGAGTCTGGATGACATAAAGACATCATTCAGAGAAGTTCCTGTTAAAGAGGAGAGTTTCTCAGATCTGAATGTGTATCTGCTCATCGCTATCGTCTCAGTATCAGTCATCTTTTTACTGAGTCTCGTGGGTTTGATAGCAGCTAAATGCTACAGGACAGACGGCAGTTTCAGCAGGTACAGCGCTCCAGTGATCAGCACCCATCCAGACGGAAGCTGGTCCTTCTCTAAATCTACTCAACAGTATGACGTGTGTTTTAGTTCAGACACAATAAAGAGTGATGTAGTCGTTTTCCCCTCGCCGTTTCCACCAGCAGACGCGGAGTTGATCAGCATTAATAGTGGAGAAGACACTTTTACGCGCACCCAGACTCTTCCTACGACCGGAAAGGTAAGCTACTGCTTACTTATCTGTACATATAAATTCACTGCAATTAAATTACACGCTGCAATTTGTGTGGAACGTTTCAGAGACACACTGCTCCTTACTTATTTGGGTAATGAAGTAACTTAACAATCTTAAAAGTTAACAAAAATGCCATCCAGACATTTGTATCTGAAAACTAAAAATGTAAATGAATGCATAAATTGATCTCGTGGGTTTTATAGAAGCTAAATGCTACAGGACAGACGGCAGTTTCAGCAGGTACAGTTCTTTAGTCCCCCTAAATTTCCTCCCAAGCCCCCCTAAAACTTTCCGATTACTCCGTAACACTATTTCTTGATCGCCTCAGTCCCCTTTAAAACCCATATGAAACCAGCGGCAGGCTTCGGCTCATCCACGTAATTTAGTCTGCGTTATTCAGTGTGTCCTTCAATCTTCATCCGAGCAGCGTGTCAGAAGCAGAAGAAACCGTGTTTGCATGTATTGATAGATTATGATATCTGCTTCTGTGTAGTTCTTTGTCATAAATTGAGTTTACATATGACGCGAGAGCAAATCAAGAAGATTTCACATCACTGTAAAATCTGGGATTTAAAAAAATTAAAAAAGAAAGAAAGTGAAATTCCTTTAATCTAAATGGCATGGTACTTTGAGACTTTTCCTACTCTTGCTATACTTTATAATTCAGTGCAATAAAATGGCTAAAATTTGTTATGAATTTTAGCTGGTTATTTAAAATGATTAGAAATTAATTAAATATTCAGGGATTGACTTGATAGAACATGTTGTATTGTTCATGCCTACCCTACCCTTGTGTAGGGAAGATATTAAATTATTATTTTTTTTAAATCATATCCTCATTGGAGGCTGAGCCCCCCCTAATATGGAAATCCTAGAATCGCCCCTGATTAATTGCCATCAAATTTACCCTTTACAGATGTGCGACTCACGTCACTGGATAGGAGTTCACGCGCAGTTTGTGATGTTTAGTAATTACATCAACGGGACTAACGGCATTAGTACCCATTTAACAATACATTAATTTACATTTTGAAATATGGATGTAGCTACTTGTGTGTTTTTGTATTTGTGGCTGACTGGTTTACTATCGCATCCGGTGTTAATGTGTTGCGACTGCGTTGATCAGTACCATGGACAGTAGCACAATAATATGAGTTCTAGCGTGAAAATGTTACATTTCTGAGGAATTTGAACATGTGCTTCTCTGTTTTTTTGGCCATTTAAAATTATTATAATTTACGATGCATCATAGTCTTGTTTTTTAGTGTTTGGTAGCTAACTATGATTTGTATTTAGTGGTGTCATTATATCTCAAATGCGTCATGTGTTTCTTCAGTGGATTTGGAAATATAGCTAATGTACTTGTAATGGCATAATGTCAGCACATGGTGTCACTGCAGACCGTCAGTTAAAGGTTTAAAGGATTTATTCTGAAGCCGCTCTCAGAATCTTGGTGTTATAGTCACAGTGTATCTGTCGTTGAGACATGATGATGGTTTCTGTTTCGTCTCGTGCTTCCTAATGCAAAGAAGAAATATTGGCTTCTCTCGCGTTTATCTTTTTTTTAGCTATCTTCAAGACATCATGGCATTTATGGGATATTTCGAGTGTGGAATTATATTTTTCTTTTCTTTGCTGGATTCTGCGTTTGCTCAGATCGTCTATTCCGTACCGGAAGAGGTAAATAAGGGAACAGCTGTTGGCAATATAGCGAAAGACCTGAACATAAATGTTCACGACCTGGAATCTCGCATGTTTGAGATCGTGACTGGATCAAATAAGAAGTATTTTGATGTAAATCTGAAAACTGGCGTGCTGTTTGTTAATGAAAGGATTGACCGTGAGGAAATATGTATGTCGAACCAGAAATGCTCTTTGAATATAGAGGCCCTCGCTAAAAATCCTCATCGTCTTTACAGGGTGGAGGTTAAGATCTTGGATATAAACGACAATGCGCCACATTTTCCTGTTAAAATATTTGCATTAAATATTACAGAAAACGCAAGCCCTGGCGAGAGATTTCCTCTCCCTGTGTCCGAGGACTCTGATGTTGGCAGTAATTCACTGAAAGAGTACAAACTGAGTCCGAATGAACATTTCAGTCTCGATACACAGAGTGAAGAGCAGAGTGTGTCTGCGGAGTTAGTGCTGAACAAGGCTTTAGATCGAGAGAAGCAAGCGACTATTAAGTTAGTTCTCACCGGGACAGATGGAGGAAAACCACCTAAATCAGGGACTTTACATATTATTATAAACGTCATGGATGTTAATGACAATAACCCAGTGTTCAGTCAACCTCTTTACAAAGTTAAAGTAAAAGAAAATGTTGCTGCTGATACTAAAGTGTTATCTGTGTTTGCAACTGATTTGGATGAAGGAATAAATCGTGAAATTATGTACTCATTTGTTGGTCATGGAAAGAAGCAAGACCTGTTTTCCATTATCCCTGAGACAGGAGATATTGTTATAAAAGGGCAAATTGATTACGAGGAAAATCTTGCTATTGAGTTACGAGTTCAGGCAAGAGATAAAGGCAGCCCACCAAGGAGCACACAATGTAAAGTTTTAATAGAAGTTATGGATGAAAATGATAATGCACCAGAGATAGTTACGACTCCCCTGTTGGAAAGTGTGAAAGAGGACGCAAAACCGGGAACTGCTGTTGCTTTAGTCACAGTGTCTGATAAAGATGGAGGTAAAAATGGCATTGTTCACTGTGCGCTGAAAGGCTCGTTTCCTTTCAAATTGGAGACGTCATATAACAATCATTATTCTCTAGTGGTAGACGGACCTCTGGACAGAGAGAGTGTTTCTCAGTATAACATCACAATTACAGCTTCAGATGAAGGAACTCCGGCTCTTTCCAGCAGCACTGTTATAACTGTACATATCTCTGATGTTAATGACAATGCCCCACATTTCCCAGCGCCCGTTATTAACGCTTTTCTAAGTGAGAATGGTCAAGCTGGAGGTCTCGTGACAAAAGTGACAGCTGATGATTCAGACACTGGTGAGAACGCAGAACTTTCATATTCACTGTTAGACAGTTCCAGCTCCAGTGTTCCTGTAACAACACTGATCAATATAAACTCTTTGAGTGGAGAAATATTCAGTTTGCAATCATTTAATCATGAAGAAACAAAAAGATTTCAGTTTGAAGTGATGGCAACAGACTCTGGTGTTCCTCCTCTGAGCAGTAATGTGACTGTAAATGTGTTTATTCTGGATGAGAATGACAACAGTCCGGTTATGTTACAGCCTTATTCTGATCCTGGATCAGTTAACACTGAGAACATTCCCTACTCTGCTGAAGCGGGATACTTTGTAGCCAAGATCAGAGCTGTTGATGCTGACTCTGGATATAACGCTCTTCTGTCTTATCATATAAGTGAAGCCAAAGGAACTAATCTCTTCCGCATTGGAAGCAGCACTGGAGAAATAAAGACTAAGAGGCGAATGAGTGACAATGACTTAAAAACTCACCCACTTATTATTACAGTGTCTGACAATGGAGAGCCATCACTCTCAGCGACTATGTCCATGGATGTTGTGGTTGTTGAGAGTCTGGATGACATAAAGACATCATTCAGAGAAGTTCCTGTTAAAGAGGAGAGTTTTTCAGATCTGAATGTGTATCTGCTCATCGCTATCGTCTCAGTATCAGTCATCTTTTTACTGAGTCTCGTGGGTTTGATAGCAGCTAAATGCTACAGGACAGACGGCAGTTTCAGCAGGTACAGCGCTCCAGTGATCAGCACCCATCCAGACGGAAGCTGGTCCTTCTCTAAATCTACTCAACAGTATGACGTGTGTTTTAGTTCAGACACAATAAAGAGTGATGTAGTCGTTTTCCCCTCGCCGTTTCCACCAGCAGACGCGGAGTTGATCAGCATTAATAGTGGAGAAGACACTTTTACGCGCACCCAAACTCTTCCTACCACCGAGAAGGTAAGACATTGCAATGTGTATTGCAATCACTGCTTGACTTGCAAAATTAAATTTTTTAGAAACGATTAAGTTGAATGTTTGTATTTTATAAACTCTCATTACAGTTTATTTTCCAGTTTACATGTCTATGGGAATAATATAAAAAAGGAAATATCGTTTTTATTAGTTTTTTTTAATTTATTACGCGCATCCCAACCCGATACTCAAGATAATACGTAACATACTGGACAGCTTTGTCAAATTAGAAATAGTATTTAAATGTCTCACTTGTTGTTAAGATGATGCAGTTTAGTTTTGCAAATTAGTTCATTATCTCGTGACTTTGGAAATGCAGTAGGCCTACTGGAATAATGACCTTATCATACAAACTGCTGTTTGTATTTTTTAAAATTTAAGGTTTAACTGTGGCCTATTTTGTATTTAAAAAGCTAAATAAGTTCAGCACCACGGACAGCGGTATTGGCGTTATATTCCTTCTCAATATTTGTATTTGCTGTAACGAAACAAAACCTTTTCTGTTTCGTAATGATTGTGTTGATATGATGATTTCAAATTGAATTTATGAAGATATGTTTTCGTTTAGTTCACTCTTTGTTATATAGAATCCTGTATGAAGTAACATTTTGTTTCATCACTGTTACAACACGTGGTGGCACTGCAGACCACAACTTTGAGTCATCTGAGCTCCTCCTTTACAGCAACAGAATATGCGTTGAAAGGGTGCAACTAACCAAGGCTTATAGTAGCTTCTGCGTCGTGATTTCGGATTGTATCGAGAGAGGTTTATTTAGTTGTTTTAATCGCTTTGAATAGCAGGACATTTTCTTGCACAATCATGGATGTCACCGGATATTATGGCTTTTGGATCATTTTATTTCTGTTACGGAAATCTTCGCTTGGCCAGATTGTCTATTCCGTCTCCGAGGAGGTAAATAAAGGAACCGTGATCGGGAATATTGCAAACGACCTCAAGATCAGCGCTCAGGAACTGGAATCACGCATGTTTCAGATTATGCCTGGATCAAATGCAAAGTATTTTGATGTAAATGTGAAAACGGGGTCGCTGTTTGTCAAAGACAGGATTGATCGTGAGGAGTTGTGTGGCTCTAATCAGAAATGTACATTGAATTTAGAGGCTCTTGCTCAGAATCCGCACAGACTTTATCGGCTTGAAATTATAATTGTGGATGTGAACGACATTGCTCCGTTTTTTACTGACAGCATGTATGTTGTCAATGTTACAGAGAATGCAAACGAGGGGGAAAGATTTCCTCTTCCAAATGCAAAAGATTCAGATGTCGGCAGTAATTCTCTGAAGGATTACAAACTCAGTTCAAATGAATACTTTTCTTTAGATGTTCATAGCGGGCCAAAGAGTATATCTGCTGAGTTAGTACTACAGAAAGCTTTAGACCGAGAGAAACAAGCCGTTATTCACTTAATATTAACCGCTGTTGACGAAGGAAAACCTCCTAAATCTGGAACATTGAGTATTGTTGTTGACGTCATGGATATAAACGATAATCAGCCTATTTTCAACGAAGCTTTATACAAAGTTAAAGTAAAAGAAAACACACCAATTGGAACCAAAATAATTTCTGTTTCTGCCAGTGATTTGGATGAGGGCATCAATAGTGAAATTCAATATTCATTTCATGGAAATACCGATGAATTGAAACTGTTTAGCATCAATTCTAACTCTGGGGGAATTGTTGTTCAAGGACACATTGATTACGAGGATGATTCTGCCATTGAACTCCGTGTTCAGGCGAGAGATAAAGGCAGCCCTCCAAAAAGTACACACTGTAAAGTTTTAATAGAAGTTGTGGATGAGAATGACAATGTGCCAGAGATAGTTACGACTCCCCTGTTGGAAAGTGTGAAAGAGGACGCAAAACCGGGAACTGCTGTTGCTTTAGTCACAGTGTCTGATAAAGATGGAGGTAAAAATGGCATTGTTCACTGTGCGCTGAAAGGCTCGTTTCCTTTCAAATTGGAGACGTCATATAACAATCATTATTCTCTAGTGGTAGACGGACCTCTGAACAGAGAGAGTGTTTCTCAGTATAACATCACAATTACAGCTTCAGATGAAGGAACTCCGGCTCTTTCCAGCAGCACTGTTATAACTGTACATATCTCTGATGTTAATGACAATGCCCCACATTTCCCAGCACCCGTTATTAACGCTTTTCTAAGTGAGAATGGTCAAGCTGGAGGTCTCGTGACAAAAGTGACAGCTGATGATTCAGACACTGGTGAGAACGCAGAACTTTCATATTCACTGTTAGACAGTTCCAGCTCCAGAGTTCCTGTAACAACACTGATCAATATAAACTCTTTGAGTGGAGAAATATTCAGTTTGCAATCATTTAATCATGAAGAAACAAAAAGATTTCAGTTTGAAGTGATGGCAAAAGACTCTGGTGTTCCTCCTCTGAGCAGTAATGTGACTGTAAATGTGTTTATTCTGGATGAGAATGACAACAGTCCAGTTATTTTACCACCTTATTCTGATCCTGGATCAGTTAATACTGAGAACATTCCCTACTCTGCTGAAGCGGGATACTTTGTAGCCAAGATCAGAGCTGTTGATGCTGACTCTGGATATAACGCTCTTCTGTCTTATCATATAAGTGAAGCCAAAGGAACTAATCTCTTCCGCATTGGAAGCAGCACTGGAGAAATAAAGACTAAGAGACGAATGAGTGACAATGACTTAAAAACTCACCCACTTATTATTACAGTGTCTGATAACGGAGAGCCATCACTCTCAGCGACTACGTCCATGGATGTTGTGGTTGTTGAGAGTCTGGATGACATAAAGACATCATTCAGAGAAGTTCCTGTTAAAGAGGAGAGTTTCTCAGATCTGAATGTGTATCTGCTCATCGCTATCGTCTCAGTATCAGTCATCTTTTTACTGAGTCTCGTGGGTTTGATAGCAGCTAAATGCTACAGGACAGACGGCAGTTTCAGCAGGTACAGCGCTCCAGTGATCAGCACCCATCCAGACGGAAGCTGGTCCTTCTCTAAATCTACTCAACAGTATGACGTGTGTTTTAGTTCAGACACAATAAAGAGTGATGTAGTCGTTTTCCCCTCGCCGTTTCCACCAGCAGACGCGGAGTTGATCAGCATTAATAGTGGAGAAGACACTTTTACGTGCACCCAAACTCTTCCTATTACTGGAAAGGTAGGATGATCATTGAAAATTAGAGTTAAAATATTTACATCTTAATTATTGTTCTCAGCTGTTCGCAATTATTTCGGTAACACTTTACAATACGGGTGCACTAATAAGCATTAATTCATGCTTAACTAATGCACAGATAATACTGAATTAATGTGTAACTAATGATTATCTAAGCTATTCATTAATGATTACCACATTAGGAACTAAATAAGAGTCTGTAAGGTTAATGTATTAGTTCATACATGAATTGTTATTAATTAAATATGTAATTGTGGATTAATTCCCTAATAACTCATTTTTTTAACTAATAGTGTTAATTAATGTTAATTACCAGAATGAGCCAAAGCCTTGTATTTCAACTTCCAAATAATACAGGTACACTAATATGCATTAATACGTGATTAATTACTTCGTTGTTAGTGCAAATTCATGTGTAAATTACTACAATTTCTAAATGACTAGTTAATAATGATGTGCCTCAACAAGTAAAGTCATAACATAATGATACCTTTGCAAATCATTAGCTAATGATTAATTAAAGCAGACAACTGGAAGTTGAAGTGCATAGCTTTGACTAATTGTGGTAATTAACACATTAATTTACACTATTAGTTAATAAAATATGTTATTAAGGAATTAATACATGATGACACGTTTAATTAATAGCAATTCATGTATTACTTAATCTATTAATCATATAGACTCTTTATTAGTTGCTGATGCAGTAATAATTAATTAATGGTTTAGTTCTTCATGAATCATACATTAACTCATGATCATCTGTGCATTAGTTAAACATGAATTAATGCATTTTAGTGCACCCGTATTGTAAAGTGTTACCATTATTTCTTATGGTTGTCAATAATGTTGGTTTGGCTTTCACAACGTGGTTGTTTCGCTTGATTTTAAAGTTGTTGTGATAAATTATGAATACATTTAATCTGTAGTTTTACTAACATACTATGATAAATATTTTTTTTTGCCGTTTTCAAGTATCAAAACAATTAATATTTAAAAATGATGTAATAATCGGTATAATTTACAAAACAGAAAAGCGATGTCAAGCAAACGTAACAAAGTTAAACAGACGTACAGTACGTGACAGGAAATGTGAAATTAAATTGCAGAAACGAAATAATAATGATAACAATAATAATAATAGCCTAATAATTCTGATCCTAAATGCCAATTGGTCAATACAGCATTCCATTTTTTTTCATGAACTGATTTGACCTCTTCACTATGTCTCTGTGCAGCTCCCCAAAAGGATAATTATTTTCTTTTGCAAAGTATTGTTCTGTCATAACTTGCGCCGTGTAGAATATTTTTTACCCAGCGTCTTTATTTTACCCTCTTTGGACGATTTTTTTTTCCACTTTGTTTGCAGTCTTATTAGCTAATTAGTAGCATTAGGATTATACAATAAGTAATCTGTCACTAATATATATATTGCAGTGCTTTTTATTGTTGAATTACTTTGAAAATCAGTATCTTTGTTGTTGTCTCCAAGCACTTTGTTGTTCCTTCAGCTGTTTTTTGTATACATTATTCCTGTTATGGCATAGTTTCAGCACACGGTGTCACTGCAGACCGCCAGTTAAAGGTTTAAAAGATTTATTCTGAAGCCTCTCTCAGAATCTTGGTGTTACAGTGTATCTGTCGTTGAGACATGATGATGGTTTCTGTTCCGTCTCGTGTTGTCTGAATGCAAAGAAGATTCTCGTGCGTTTATGTTTTGTTTTTACTGTCATTACGCCAGCTGAGAATCACCATCATGGCATTTACGGGATATTTCGAGTGTGGAATTATATTTTTCCTTTCTTTGCTGGATTCTGCGTTTGCTCAGATCGTCTATTCCGTACCGGAAGAGGTAAATAAGGGAACAGCTGTTGGCAATATAGCGAAAGACCTGACCATAAATGTTCACGACCTGGAATCTCGCATGTTTGAGATCGTGACTGGATCAAATAAGAAGTATTTTGATGTAAATCTGAACACTGGCGTGCTGTTTGTTAATGAAAGGATTGACCGTGAGGAAATATGTATGTCGAACCAGAAATGCTCTTTGAATATAGAGGCCCTCGCTGAAAATCCGCATCGTCTTTACAGGGTGGAGGTTAAGATCTTGGATATAAACGACAATGCGCCACATTTTCCTGTTGAAATATTTACTGTGAATATTAGTGAAAACGCAAGCCCTGGCGAGAGATTTCCTCTCCCTGTGTCCGAGGACTCTGATGTTGGCAGTAATTCACTGAAAGAGTACAAACTGAGTCCGAATGAACATTTCAGTCTCGATACACAGAGTGAAGAGCAGAGTGTGTCTGCTGAATTAGTGCTGAACAAGGCTTTAGATCGAGAGAAGCAAGCGACTATTAAGTTAGTTCTCACCGGGAGAGATGGAGGAAAACCACCTAAATCAGGGACTTTAAATATTATTATAAACGTCATGGATGTCAATGACAATAACCCAGTGTTCAGTCAACCTCTTTACAAAGTCAAAGTAAAAGAAAATGTTGCTGCTGATACTAAAGTTATCTCTGTCTTTGCAACTGATTTGGATGAAGGAATAAATCGTGAAATTATGTACTCATTTGTTGGTCATGGAAAGAAGCAAGATCTGTTTTCCATTATCCCTGAGACAGGAGATATTGTTGTAAAAAGGCAAATTAATTACGAGGAAAATCCAGCTATTGAGTTACGAGTTCAAGCAAGAGATAAAGGCAGTCCACCAAAGAGCACACAATGTAAAGTTTTAATAGAAGTTATGGATGAAAATGATAATGCACCAGAGATAACAGTGACCCCACTTCTGAAAACTGTTAAAGAAGACATAAAGTCAGGAACTGCTGTTGCTTTAGTCACAGTGTCTGATGAAGATGGAGGTAAAAATGGCATTGTTCACTGTGCGCTGAAAGGCTCGTTTCCTTTCAAACTGGAGACGTCATATAACAATCATTATTCTCTAGTGGTAGACGGACCTCTGGACAGAGAGAGTGTTTCTCAGTATAACATCACAATTACAGCTTCAGATGAAGGAACTCCGGCTCTTTCCAGCAGCACTGTTATAACTGTACATATCTCTGATGTTAATGACAATGCCCCACATTTCCCAGCACCCGTTATTAACGCTTTTCTAAGTGAGAATGGTCAAGCTGGAGGTCTCGTGACAAAAGTGACAGCTGATGATTCAGACACTGGTGAGAACGCAGAACTTTCATATTCACTGTTAGACAGTTCCAGCTCCAGAGTTCCTGTAACAACACTGATCAATATAAACTCTTTGAGTGGAGAAATATTCAGTTTGCAATCATTTAATCATGAAGAAACAAAAAGATTTCAGTTTGAAGTGATGGCAACAGACTCTGGTGTTCCTCCTCTGAGCAGTAATGTGACTGTAAATGTGTTTATTCTGGATGAGAATGACAACAGTCCAGTTATTTTACCACCTTATTCTGATCCTGGATCAGTTAATACTGAGAACATTCCCTACTCTGCTGAAGCGGGATACTTTGTAGCCAAGATCAGAGCTGTTGATGCTGACTCTGGATATAACGCTCTTCTGTCTTATCATATAAGTGAACCCAAAGGAACTAATCTCTTCCGCATTGGAAGCAGCACTGGAGAAATAAAGACTAAGAGACGAATGAGTGACAATGACTTAAAAACTCACCCACTTATTATTACAGTGTCTGATAATGGAGAGCCATCACTCTCAGCGACTATGTCCATGGATGTTGTGGTTGTTGAGAGTCTGAATGACATAAAGACATCATCCAGAGAAGTTCCTGTTAAAGAGGAGAGTTTCTCAGATCTGAATGTGTATCTGCTCATCGCTATCGTCTCAGTATCAGTCATCTTTTTACTGAGTCTCGTGGGTTTGATAGCAGCTAAATGCTACAGGACAGACGGCAGTTTCAGCAGGTACAGCGCTCCAGTGATCAGCACCCATCCAGACGGAAGCTGGTCCTTCTCTAAATCTACTCAACAGTATGACGTGTGTTTTAGTTCAGACACCATAAAGAGTGATGTAGTCGTTTTCCCCTCGCCGTTTCCACCAGCAGACGCGGAGTTGATCAGCATTAATAGTGGAGAAGACACTTTTGCGCGCACCCAAACTCTTCCTAGCACTGGAAAGGTAAGACGACTTTGGAACCCTAGTTGTGTAAAATTTGTGGAGTTTAAAACATTTTTTGTTGTTGTCACTGAAGTTGTGTTGGTTTGCAAATTATTTTTGATCGTTTGTTTGCTTTGATTTCGCTGAATAACAGTTTCCTCAATGCTATTTTTCAATGGCAACAAAAAGTCAAGTACAAAATACAGATGATAAATAAAATGCAAGAAAATGCGATTTATAATTAATAAAGACAATAAAAAACGATGACGACTGATAATAATAATAATAACAACAATAAATCATAGTATGCATATTATAATCAAGTTCTTATGCTGTTTATGTTAAACATTTATAAACTTAACGGTACTTTGATTCTTTTTTGAGAGAGGGTCTTCAGCACCATGGACAAAGAACACCTCATCTTCGCTTTTCATTCCGTACATTTTTGTAATCTTGGTTAGATGTAAATATATTTTAATTAGCTTCCTACTATGATCTTAATTTACTTATTATATCGAGTGGTGCAGATCTTTACCCAAAATGTGTCTTTTTATTTGCGTTCATACTTTGCAATTCACTAATTAATTTTTTTAAACATTATATTTGAAGTGTGGGATATTGCACTCTAAATACAATATCCCCATTCAGCATGCAGTTGAAACGCGCGATGTCGTTGTAGACCATGGATTTGAAGCACTTCTCGTATTAAAATGAGGCTCCTCCCCTGGAAGAAGAACCGCCTATTATTGCCATGAGCAAATGATAAGGTATTACAGGAGCCTACATGCTTCCGAGACGAAGAGCCTGGCAGCAACAAGACACACATTTACGTTTTTTTTTAAAGATGATTCATCTTTGAAGCTTTGAAGGAACAACGATGGAAATCTTAAGATATTTTTGCGTCATAACAGCTCTTCATTTTGGATTATGGCCATTTTCATTCGGCAAGATTATCTATTCGGTGTCGGAGGAAGTAAACAAGGGAACTGTTGTCGGAAATATAGCAAAAGATCTCAAGATCAGTGTTCAAGAGCTGGAATCTCGTATCTTGCAGCTTGTATCCGGATCCAACAGAAAATATTTTGACGTGAATTTGAAAACGGGAGCGTTGTTCGTGAATGAAAGAATTGACCGGGAAGAATTATGCTTCGCTAATCAGGAATGTGCTCTTAATTTGGAGGCTGTTGTTCAAAATCCTCATAGTCTTTATCGAATTGAAATTAATGTTCTGGATGTTAATGATAATGCTCCATATTTTGTGGACAGCGTTGTAATGATAAACATTACCGAGGATGTTGTTCCAGGGGAGAGATTTCATCTTCCTGTAGCTGAAGATAACGACATTGGCATTAATGCACTGAAAGACTACAAACTGAGCAAGAATGAACAATTTTCTGTTGACGTGCAAACTGAAGAGCAAAGTGTGTCTGCTGAATTAGTGCTCCAAAAACCTTTAGATCGTGAAAAGCAATCGGTAATTCCTCTTGTACTGACAGCTGTTGATGGAGGAAAGCCCGCAAAGACAGGCACATTAAGTGTAATAGTGAATGTTATTGATATAAATGATAACAAGCCTGTCTTCAGCAAACCATTGTACAAGATCAAGGTGAGAGAAAATGTTTCTGTTGGTTCAAAAATCATCTCTTTGACTGCTACTGATTTGGATGAGGGCACCAACAGTGACATTATTTATTCCATAGCTGAACATGGAAACATAAAAAAGCAAAGTCTATTCACTGTGGTTCCTGAAACCGGGGATATTGTTGTAAAGGGTCAAATAGACCATGAGATAAATGCTGCTATTGAATTGCGAATTCAGGCAAGAGATAAAGGCAGCCCACCAAAGAGCACCCAATGTAAAGTTTTAATAGAAGTTATGGATGAAAATGACAATGCACCAGAGATAATTGTGACTCCACTTTTGGAAACTGTGAAAGAAGACACAAAGTCAGGAACTGCTGTTGCTTTAGTCACAGTGTCTGATAAAGATGGAGGTAAAAATGGCATTGTTCACTGTGCGCTGAAAGGCTCGTTTCCTTTCAAACTGGAGACGTCATATAACAATCATTATTCTCTAGTGGTAGACGGACCTCTGGACAGAGAGAGTGTTTCTCAGTATAACATCACAATTACAGCTTCAGATGAAGGAACTCCGGCTCTTTCCAGCAGCACTGTTATAACTGTACATATCTCTGATGTTAATGACAATGCCCCACATTTCCCAGCGCCCGTTATTAACGCTTTTCTAAGTGAGAATGGTCAAGCTGGAGGTCTCGTGACAAAAGTGACAGCTGATGATTCAGACACTGGTGAGAACGCAGAACTTTCATATTCACTGTTAGACAGTTCCAGCTCCAGTGTTCCTGTAACAACACTGATCAATATAAACTCTTTGAGTGGAGAAATATTCAGTTTGCAATCATTTAATCATGAAGAAACAAAAAGATTTCAGTTTGAAGTGATGGCAACAGACTCTGGTGTTCCTCCTCTGAGCAGTAATGTGACTGTAAATGTGTTTATTCTGGATGAGAATGACAACAGTCCAGTTATTTTACCACCTTATTCTGATCCTGGATCAGTTAATACTGAGAACATTCCCTACTCTGCTGAAGCGGGATACTTTGTAGCCAAGATCAGAGCTGTTGATGCTGACTCTGGGTATAACGCTCTTCTGTCTTATCATATAAGTGAAGCCAAAGGAACTAATCTCTTCCGCATTGGAAGCAGCACTGGAGAAATAAAGACTAAGAGACGAATGAGTGACAATGACTTAAAAACTCACCCACTTATTATTACAGTGTCTGATAATGGAGAGCCATCACTCTCAGCGACTATGTCCATGGATGTTGTGGTTGTTGAGAGTCTGGATGACATAAAGACATCATCCAGAGAAGTTCCTGTTAAAGAGGAGAGTTTTTCAGATCTGAATGTGTATCTGCTCATCGCTATCGTCTCAGTATCAGTCATCTTTTTACTGAGTCTCGTGGGTTTGATAGCAGCTAAATGCTACAGGACAGACGGCAGTTTCAGCAGGTACAGCGCTCCAGTGATCAGCACCCATCCAGACGGAAGCTGGTCCTTCTCTAAATCTACTCAACAGTATGACGTGTGTTTTAGTTCAGACACCATAAAGAGTGATGTAGTCGTTTTCCCCTCTACGTTTCCATTGCCAGATGCTGAGCTAATCAGCATTAATGAAGGAGACACTTTTAATAGGACTCAAACACTTCCAAGCACTACCAAGGTAAGATAAAACTTATATCTTACAGTTTGAAAATATCATCATACTACTCTTGGTAGCAGTTTGGATTAGTTTCACTATGTGAGAGAATGTGTGATTTTGCAACATGTGGCATTGTTCATTTTCACATATCATGCTAAGGACAGTTGTATATGGGCAGTTGTGTTCAACACACACACACACACACACACACACACACACACACACACACACACACACACACACACACACACACACACACACACACACACACACACACACACACACACACACACACACACACACACACACACACACACACACACACACACATATAAACTGATTGTTTTCAGCATTCTTTACTCCAGTGTTACATTGGCCTTTCAGTTCCATTTTTCTAATAGGATATCTTTATGTTGGTAGATGTAGATAACATGCATTTAGTCAAATTGTAGGTTGTCAGTGCAAGGGATAAAGTGTCAGCCATGGTGTATGTAAATGGCAAACAATTTCTTAATAATGAATATGTTTATCTCAAAGAGGCTTATTGTTGGAAATGTGCATTTTTGGAAGATTATCACATTTTATAAACTACATGAAGGACTGTGAAAGTAAATCTGAAAACAAGTGTTCTGTTTAAGTAAACAAAACGATAAGTTACCATAAAATAGTCAGTTGTAATGAAAATCTGTCATTTGTAAACAAATTTATATCAAATATTAAGGAAAACTATTTCTTTCTGGTAAAAAGAAAGAAAGAAAGAAACCCTGATGCAGCAGTTTCCCTTTTTTTTTTAGCTGATTCATAGCTTTATGTTAGTAGGTTTACAATACAGTTCTGACTCTGAATTAGTATCCACTAATTTTCACCGTTAAAATTTCAAGAACAAATATACTTTTTCGATGTTTTTTATTCATTTATTTTTGACATATTTTAGCAAATAATTTACGGCCTTCTATAGGTAAGCTTTCTAATTTAATTCAGTGAATCTCACACATTTCATTTGTAATACGAGACTATTGAGAAAAAAACCTCTTAACAGTTCCAATGTTTAGGCTAAAGTATCAAAATACTGAATTTTATTCTGACTTGTGTTTTGGTGCAGCCACTTTTAGACTTTTTATAGACTAACAAAGCTTTTCCTGTGTTAACTTAATTTACACTAGGTGATATTTTCTTTTATGGTGCTGTAGCCTATGCACAATATTAGTGTGGCTTCGTCACAGAACCGCACGTAATCCGCGTGGTGTCACTGCAGACCGCTAAACTTTAATAATTTCCACATAACCTCTGAACTCCGCCTACAATTTGACTGAGTGACGTGCTGTAACCGGGCGTCACAATCTAGATGCTTTTCGCGTGCATGTTTCCGTAAGCGTCATTCTTTATTCTGGATGTTTAGAGTTTTGATCACCGGTGTAGTGTTTTGATCACGTTGGCGTCTCACACGGAAAGATGGCACACAGAATGGACTGTACGTTCCCGCATATAATTTTCCTCTGGCTCGTGATGTGTGTTTCAGTGCCTGCGTATGGTCAGATTGTCTACACCGTTTCCGAGGAGGTAAATATCGGAACTGTCGTTGGGAATGTGGTAAAGGACATGCATTTAAACGTCCAAGATTTGGAATCACGGGCGTTTCAGCTTGTATTCGGCACGAGGACGAGGTATTTCGATGTGAATCTGAAATCTGGCGTCTTGTATGTTGCTGAAAGAGTTGACCGCGAGCAGCTATGTCCCAATACTCCATCCTGCTCCTTGAATTTTGAAGCGATAGTTAACCACCCTCTTAGTCTGAGTCGAGTGATAGTTAATATTAATGATGTGAATGACAATTCTCCTAAATTCCCTGTTGAAACTCAAGTTTTGAATATCTCTGAATCAGTGCAGCCAGGAGCTACATTTTCCTTGATCAGTGCATTGGATGAAGATGTTGGACCTTTCTCTGTTAAAGGCTATAAACTGAGTCCTAATGAACATTTCTCATTAGAAGTGCACCCGGGTGGTGAACATGGCATGTCTGCAGAGTTAGTCCTTCGAAAAGCTTTAGACAGAGAGAGAGAACCTGTAATTCGACTAGTCTTGACTGCTTCCGATGGAGGGAAACCGTCAAGATCTGGGACATTACAAATTATAGTTAACATTTTAGATACAAATGATAATGCTCCAGTGTTTAGCAATCCGCTTTATAAAGTCAGTGTGACAGAGAACACACTACGAGGAACTAAGATAATCAAACTCAATGCTACTGACATGGATGAAGGCTCAAATGGAGAAGTTACGTATTTGTTTAGCAGTCATGGTCAGGAAAAAAATCTTGATGCATTTGCAATCAGTCCTGATTCTGGGGAGATTGCAGTTAAAGGAAATATTGATTTTGAGGACAAAGCTTTTTATGAACTTAGAGTAGAGGCCCATGATAAAGCCTCTTCCCCCATGACAACTAATTGTAAGGTACTAATCGAAGTCATAGATGTAAATGACAATGCACCAGAAATAGTAATAACATCCCTGCTGTCTTCTTTAAGGGAAGATGCAAAAATCGGCACTGCTGTGGCTCTGGTCACAGTTTCAGACAAGGATGGTGGAATGAATGGGAAAGTGAGTTGTAAGCTTCAAGGAAATTTGCCTTTCAAACTTGAGTCTTCCTACAAAAATTATTACTCTGTTGTTTTAGAAGGCCAGCTTGACAGGGAAAAGATCTCCAAGTATAATGTTACCCTAATAGCAGTGGATGAGGGAACCCCACCTCTTTCCAGCACCAGTGTGATTTATGTTGACATTTCAGATGTGAATGACAATCCGCCACAATTTAACGGAAACAGCATTAATGTCTATTTAAAAGAAAACACGTCCCCTGGAACCCTTATTCACACAGTGTCAGCAGTTGACAGAGATTTAAATGAAAATGCTGAATTGTCTTACTCTATTGTTGATAACAAAGCAACAAGCATACATTCTGTTAGTATTAACTCATTGACAGGCCAGTTGTATAACCTACAGTCTTTCAATTTTGAAGAACAGAAAACCCTTAGTTTCCATGTTCAGGCCATAGACTCTGGTGTTCCTCCCTTGAGCAGTAATGTGACTGTAAATGTGTTTATTCTGGATGAGAATGACAACAGTCCAGTTATTTTACCGCCCTATTCTGATCCTGGATCAGTTAATACTGAGAACATTCCCTACTCTGCTGAAGCGGGATACTTTGTAGCCAAGATCAGAGCTGTTGATGCTGACTCTGGATATAACGCTCTTCTGTCTTATCATATAAGTGAAGCCAAAGGAACTAATCTCTTCCGCATTGGAAGCAGCACTGGAGAAATAAAGACTAAGAGACGAATGAGTGACAATGACTTAAAAACTCACCCACTTATTATTACAGTTTCTGATAATGGAGAGCCATCACTCTCAGCGACTATGTCCATGGATGTTGTGGTTGTTGAGAGTCTGGATGACATAAAGACATCATTCAGAGAAGTTCCTGTTAAAGAGGAGAGTTTTTCAGATCTGAATGTGTATCTGCTCATCGCTGTCGTCTCAGTATCAGTCATCTTTTTACTGAGTCTCGTGGGTTTGATAGCAGCTAAATGCTACAGGACAGACGGCAGTTTCAGCAGGTACAGCGCTCCAGTGATCAGCACCCATCCTGACGGAAGCTGGTCCTACTCCAAATCTACACAACAATATGACGTGTGTTTTAGCTCAGACACAATGAAGAGCGACATGGTGGTTTTTCCTTCACCATTTCCGCCTGCAGAGGCTGAACTGGTCAGCATTCATGGAGAAGATACTTTTACGCAAACCCAAACTCTTCCTACCACTGGGAAGGTGAGCATTATTTAAGACCTTAGTTTACAAAGTAGCTGAATTTTCACTTATATGGCCTATTCACATATTCACTATACACATGCTTTTCTTTGATTTATTTTTAAGCTCTTAGTTACTAGAAAAATATAGAAGTGAAGCAAAACATCATTCAGTTTTCTTCAGTTATTTTTGGCCCGCTACTTACTTAAAATTATGCTTAATATGTGATCCATGCACAAAACTTGCATAACAAATCCAGTGCTACATTCAGTTTACTTTAAGTAAATTATATATCAATGAACCTGATTTAAAAATAGCAGTCATCTTGGTTTTAGCAAGTTGTTACCACTCTTTCTATCACATTTATATGATTAGTTTTCCTGTGTCAATTATTACCACAACTCTGACCTGCAAAGCTTGTATGTAGTGTAGTTTCAGCACCATCAGTGATGGACAGCACCACCTCACTGATACACAGGCACACCAAGAGCTTGGTAGTACTGCTCTCATATTGCACTAAAGATTTAATGATTTGATTATGAATTAATCAAAGACATCTGTTTTAATTATAACTCTTTAATTACATTAAACTGCAGTTTCAAGCAGGTTGCAACAGCTACTCCCCAATCTTCAAAGAGAATTTAAATGATGTTTAATAAGCTTCACTAACCTACTGCTTAGAATACAGAATTGAGTTGGTAATTTATTTAAGAGTTTTTGTATAACTTTAGTTTTGTTACTGAGTTTTGCATGTTAAGTCACCAAATGCTTTAGTTTAACACTTTCTGCACTTTTGTGTGCATGTTCAGTGATACTGCCAATATATGCATAAAAGTGTCTGCTACATGCATAAATGTAATGTATGTTTAATGTGAGTTGGTTTGTCTCAGACATATGCTCCATGTTCCTTCGTCTAGTTAGTCATGCCTCTTGAGTCTTTTTTTTCCCTTAGTCCTTGAGAGAGGACAGGGATCGTGTAAATTTCTGTGCAATTGGGTCAGTACTGGGTTCTGCTTTGCCCGGCTGGTTGAGGGAGATAGATGGATTAGAAGTCTGTGGGTCTCTGGGCTGCTGGAGTGCTGCAGTCCCACCTGCATTATATCGAATTCTCTCAAGCCCCCTCTCACTCAATGCATAATAATGAGTGGGATATGCTGCAGACTCTATGAGAAAAAGACACAGCAGTATTTATACTGTTTAAAGAAACTGATCCTTTCTTCCCTCTATGTGCAACCCATTTCATGCTGCTGTGCTTACAGTGTTTTTATTTATTATGTTTATATTTGTTTAGATAATTCACAAGTTTGTTACTTAAATGCCATTAGTTTGGTCTATATGGTATTAATCTCTGACTATATTTTGGTTCTTGTTGTTTGAATGTCTCATTCCACTGCTACCTCTTCTGAACATGTCAGATTAAATACATTTTTTAGTGGCACCATGGCATTTTACTTTCCACCTCCAGTTTTCACATGAGAGTGCGCTATTCAATTTTTAATTTATTATGACACATCATTCCGATAAACGTGACATTCAGGCTGCAGTTTATTGTAATTTATCATATTAGTGGCCAAAAGTGGTCTGGAAGGGGATAGTTCAATTAAACCATCAAAAATATGAGGAAAATATTGTATATATTTTTAAATATTTTAAAATACTAAACTTGGTTAAGGTATTTTTTATCTGACAAAATTATTTGACAAAAAAATGGCTTTATTTAAACGTTTTATTTTACTCTTAAAAAAGACAAAAACAAAAAGCTCACAGAAAAAAAACCTGACGCTGACTACAACATAATCAGTTATTAATATATCATTGGTTCTCTCTGGTTTTTGAATGTGTTCATAATTACTTTGTATGACAGCCTGGACAAAAATTGTCTGCACAATTTGGCATGTTTTATTATAATATCACACATAAAACAATTGACTCGCAATTTAGGCAAATATATTTTAAATATTAATGACATTAAACTGCAGAGAGATAAATAACAGAAGACAGTGATATTTTTGTGTTTATTTATATATATACTGTGTATATATATATATATATATGCAAATCAAGGTTTAAAAGAATCTCGCCTCTTATTTCTCCTCAGTCTGTGTGCATAAATGCCTCCTGCATTGTCTTGCGCACAAGGATCATGTTTCAGTTATGACATTACTGCTTCAGCCAGCTGTGAATTTGTGGTTAATGGACAAATTTCAAGTCTATTTGCAGAGTGTAATGCTCTGAGGTTAACCCAAGAAAGTGGATAAGTCTGTTTGTGCTTGTGTATGTTATTCATTAGAATAAGCTTGGTAGATCATGGAACTGAGTCAATGCTTAAGCATTGTGACATACCACGAGTCATAGTACAGAGACTGTGGGTAAATACACTATCATTACTTCAGTGTTATTTATCGTGAACTGACTGTAAACTGCTAAGCTGTTGTCTGTGCGCTGCAATACATAAACTGTGTGTCTGCTGGCTTGTGTTTCTCAGACAGAATGACCTGAGCCTTTTGTTAAGGTCACACTGGGATTTCTGTCCCTCTGGATGGATGCATTTTGAGCCTGAAATGGAGGTTCAGAGCACAATAAACAGATTGCCATGAATGACAAATGTTCCTTTCTTGGTTTTCACAAATTCCCCATTTATCTCCGCAGGTCCTGCGGGTTCTCTAAATTCCCTAAAGCTCAAATTAGACGTGGATCTGCATAATTTCTTGTTTACAAGGTTATCAAGTCTGCAGAATCGTTCAGTGAAAATGTCAGAATGTTCAAACCGCATGTGATTTGTATCTTTGGCGTGATCCATTAGGTTGTCATTATTGTACAAATGAAATGCTAATGCATTCAGCAAAGCATTTTAGGAGCACTTATGGTGCTATAACATATATTATTGGTTTATGTCATCATTTATTTGCTTATGCTAGTTTGCATATCTATTCTGTTCAGTTGCCTCTCTCGGGTTGCTGGGTCTGGCAGACTAGAAAGAACAGTCGATGATTCCCTGCAGTGTATCAGTGAGAGGATGGGTGGGTCATCTCTGCAGAGGGCTGCAGGTGGCAGAATGAGTCAAGCTGAACAGAATGCAGAGAGAGAGAGAGAGACAGAGAGAGGGATGGGGGGTTCTGGATGGCTTGCTAGTGCCCTCTGTTGGTTGGAGAACTGGTGATGGCTTCCAGAGCTGTGTGGGATCCTTACTATAAAGTGTTTATTTCCAACCTCAGCCAGTAGGGGTCTTACAAAGTCCTTTTCAAGCATCCTCTGTGCCCAATCCTTTCATACCGTCTCTTTCTCTCTATTATTTACTGTCACTTTGTGTTACACACAACATGCCTTCTGCTCCCATAATATTTTGCCTCTCATTTCTTTGAGCACGTGCAGTCCTTTGACATTTTTTTTCCCTCTCTCTGTCTTCTCACATATACTCTCTGCGTCATGAAATAATTTCAGGAATATCTAGGAATTTTGCAAGTGTCTTTTGCAACACAGATTAAGCAAACAAACAAAGAAAGTAACAAAGAAGAATGTTGTCTATCATTAACAAAACAGGGCACTTCAAAAAAGGTTTTATCTTGTTTTTCAATAAAATATCTAAAACAAATCCTTTAAACAAGATTAATTTACTTTACAATTTACAAGATTCATTTACTAAAAGACAGCGAATAAAATACTAAGACTTGTTTCGATATATCTTATTCGGTCTCACTCTTCAGCAGATTGTTTTACTTGTTTTTGACCTGTTTGTTCTTAAACTGTAAAATATATAAGCTGAAAAATCTACAAGTGTAGTAAGAAAAACAGACTTGCATTAAAGACCTACTACCAGTGTGGGGCCAGTATAATTAAAAAAAGAAAGAAAATCAGCAATGTGACAGTTAAGACATGTATAATCCGGCCTTGACATTAACTTTTTAACACGCGACACTGTGGCTAGTGGTTTTCCAAAGTTACTAGCCACTCAGCATTTTCACTGGCCACTATTTTGACATCGATACCATAGGGAAAAACTACCATATAGATATTTTTTAATATTATCTAAAAATTTGGCAGCCAGTATATTAGGCTGCTGTCACTTTAGGTCTGACGCACGGACCATATAGCGAATAGATTTGTCTTTATGTGCGTGCACAAAATCTGCGGGAATGAGTAAAATTATGCTCAAAACGCGCAATCCCATGGCGAAATTCAAGCCCTGTAACACCAACAATATTCATCCGTAGCAAATGAAACGAGTTCGCGGGTTTGTGTGTCAACTCGCTATCTGAGAGATTAGAGAGCGAGAACGCGTAGCTGGTATCGTGTATCCTGCGGAAGAGTTTCAAATATTTCAGTATCGATATGTATCGAAAAATCTATATTTTTGACAACACTAGATTGTTTTAGTTTGCACATAGTTTTTTTTTTGTTTTAGATGCCTTTTTAAAAGACTACAATTGAAAAATGTATAGGCCTATAAAAAATTCAACCCGCCAAAGTGGCTAGGAGGGACTGCGTTACACACCACCGCTGAAATGCACCCGCATTTGGCGGGTTGGCGGGTGTTAATGCCAAGCCCTGTTAATAAAAGATTTCTATTTCAAATAAGTTCTGTTCTTTCGAACTTTCTATTCATCAAATAATCATAAAAACAAAATGTAGCTCAGTTTCTAGAAAAAAATATAAGCAGCACAAAATTGTTTTGGTAACACTTTACTTGAAGGGGTGTCCATAAGACTGACATGACACCTGTCATGAAGATGAAGGAGGTTTCATGCATGTTTATGACAACTGTCATTAAGTGTCATTCGCTCAATTATGACATTTTTAATGCGAATATGACATTGTTTGAGATGTCTTGGTAATGACACATTGACATAAACCAATACATCATAACCTGTCAGTGTCTTTGTCATGACAACTTGACATTACCAAGACAACATAAATTGTCATAAATATGTCATAAACATGACATAGCAGATTAATTATCAAACTTAAGAAACCACTTAGCTTTATGGGTTAACATTACATTAAACTGTCAGGTGGTTGGTTTT